AAAATTCATACGAAAAGCCGTACAGTCGCAAGTATATACTTGTATAACCCAAAGGATGTACGAAACTCGCTCAAGCTCGTGTAAGATATACGTGTAATTAAGTGCACGAGTGTGACGTCTGGAATTTATATGTATACATCTCCAAACGGGCGCACGTGTGTGGGCAAGTGAGTAAACAAATTTTCTCGATGTCTAAGTATAACTAAGCTACGGCTCTTGTTTCCCGAAAAAACTCGGCTTTTGATGAATTTCAACGTTTGACCCGAGTATCCATAGTTGCGGAAACGTCTCGGGGAATAAGAAAAAAAAATAGAACCTCCGAAAAAATTTATGCGTACCTATATACATACACGATACTAAGATAAATTTGATATTCATTTATTAGTTTTTTGTTTACGACACAGTTGCAATTTTATTTAAATGATTATTAAGTATTATGTAATGCAATTTACGCGATATACGCACGCAGTTTGTTTAATTTTCAACATATTTGGCCTGATATGTTGAACAGTGTAACCACAACACCGTAACATATACCGTGACAATCAACTTCTCCAGCTTCGATAGGTATATATATATATATATATATATATATATATTTCATCCAAATCGACGTGCTTACAATTGAAAAATTTAATTAAATGGTCATGGGATTGTTTTGTCAACCGAGTGTATAGCGTACACGTGTAAATCGATTGCGCGATTGAAATCACATTTCGTGCGGTCTAAGTAGGTGAAGTACACACTTTTCTCGCGCAAGTAATTTACGTGACCTCTCGAGAAGAAGCACGCGTATATATATAACCACACCGTCCGAGTAACCTGACGTTCCCCACCCAATTCGACCTACGATAACAAAGTTCTCTCGAAGCATGGCAGAGGGTAGGTACCCATCCCCGAGGAATTCCGAGCGTCTCTTAGTTTGCACCATACATGTATACATACATAGGTGCACCTTACCTGTTGGCCAAGACAAAACGATAAACTTTGTAGGGGACACGCATACATCCATGTATTGATGTCGATGCTGCTGCGTGTATATTTATGTACACTAGGCTTCAAGCGCGTTTTCAAGGCCATCGTTGCTGCCACTTCTGCTCACTTTAACTCAACTACAGAGGCTCTTTCTCTTGTATACGCTTACATCACGGGCGCGTGCACTGGATCACATCGCGCTGTTTGATGGTCATCGAATGCGACAGTCCAAAGTATCGCAAGTGTTACGAGTATGTATACCATCATCGTTGCGCACCTACATATGTACACTCATCGACTCGTGCCTCTACTTACTTATGTTTTATTTTTTCTTTTTTTTTTTTTTTTTTTTTTCATCCTCCGAGTGGCACCAATGTACGTACTGGATAAAATTTCTTTGTTTCAAGACGTTTAACCTATACACAACTGTATAGCGCTTGGAAGCTGTGCCGTGTTGTTCGCGCGGTAATTATTTTTTTTTTTTTTTTTTTTTTTTTTTTTTTCAATTAATTTAGAGCGTAATGATGTTTGAACGCCAGGGAAGAAGTTGGGCTGGTCTTCGATTAATGAGTTTGTACATAGTTTTTCTTCTATTATGTATTTTGTTAGTGGTTCTCAAGGTCTTCTTCCTATTTTTCGTTTGATTAATGAGTAGATCAGACAGTTTGCTGTAAACGTTACCATTCATTTAGCTGCGGTGCATTTTCCATTGAAGCATTTATTTTTGTGCACAAAAACAGGGGTTTCGCAGATTTCTTGTTACAGACTTATCGACAAATGTGGTTATTTATTAATTTTTTTAATCGAAATTTATTGGTTGTCAATAAAAACTGCTGTGCAGCATAATTGACCGGTAGTGTTTGGTGGCTAAATTTTTATCCCTTCTCATTTGAGAAGCAAAAAAATAGACTTAAAGCCAGAAGGAGTGATTCATCTTGCGCTACCGCAACTTTCTTGTTCATAATGGCTATACGATTGGTAAAAAGTTCGGAGCTGAACTCAACGACACTTACTTAAAAATGAATAATTTAACCTACTCCTCTGACGGCAATAAATATTTTACGAGTCTTTTGTCCAAAGTTTGATCTTATACCTTTGTTATAAGAGGCTTCGATAGCTCATCTTATGTTTTTTTATGCTTTGGGAGGTGACTCGTGCTTTCAAATGGAAACTTTGAATCTGAATTTTTAACTATCGAAGCTTAACGTAATACAAGATGATTTGATTATCACAAAGTGTAAAAAAGAACTTGAATATAAAAATCTTTAATTTTATTTGTAACAGTTCAAAGGTTCACGGTAACTCGAGTTAAAATTTTTTTCATCCTTTTATTTTATCACTGTATTTGTTTTCACTAACTTGAAGCACACAAAAATTATAAAAGTTGGTTTTTTTTTTTTTTTTTTTTACAAAAATTTTTCTGATTACTTTTAATTTTTATCTCATTAAGATTTTTTAGATACGCGAATAGAAATTTGATTTTATTACCGTTATAGATGGTATGCCAATTTTTTTTTTTTCAGTTTTATTATTAAAAAAAATGTTTTCGGATACAATTCAGGTAAATCAAAATTTTATATCCATATTTTAATCATTTTTTTATATCACTAATGCTCATGGATTTTATTATCACTATTATTATTTCAGATGATTTCTGTTCCGATATTCATCAATGATGCTATGTAAAAAATTACCAATAGGAAAAATTAATTCAGATAACTAGCTTTTTGAATTGAATGAACATTGATATAATTCATGAATGATTCAACATTTTAAACTGAAATCCAAGTATGCAAATGTAAGTGAGTGTGTTAAGTTTGTTTTCCGAAACAAAGAAATCTTGGATAAGAGCGTTCTGTTAATTATTATTGACGTTTGCTATCTATAATTTCACCACAATCAATTCGATTAAACAACTTTAATTATTTTTAAATTTGAACTACAAGAGTGATTTAATAAAATACTCTGATGTTAATTAAAATATTTAAAAATAAATTAAAAAAAAAAAATATGATGTATCCAAAAATACGTATAGTAAAAATAGAGTAGCGTTTCTCAAGTTCAAATTCGTCGCAGCTTATTTTTATTAAAATATGGTAGGCGTTGAATATGTATTTGCAAATAAAGTATCTATTTACTCAACTAAAATTTAATATTTAAATACCGAAATAATCACACAATTAAATTAAAGTTAATTAAAAGTTATCAGATAAATTATTTAACTATTTAAATACCAATTATTGTCCATCCTCGGTTGACTAAGTTTGTAATTATTTAAAAATATCGCTTAAAAATTAGCACGAGATACATCATCATTATCAGCGCAACAAGAAGATCGAATGCAACAGACCACGACAAACGTATTGATAATAATTACATAACGATGAAAATTTAAAATTACTACATATTTAAAAATACTCTAACTCCGCCTATATAATAAGATCAAAGCAATTTTTTGTTTACCATTTTGGGTCATTGCCATATTGTTTTTTTAAAACATGTCAATATTATATTTTACAGTGCGACCTCTGAAATAAACACTTGGTAAATTACGCTTGTTTACGTGATCCCGTTATTGAATCGTGCGAAATTAAGTAACGAGAGGAAAAAAAAATTAATGACCAAAGGTCTCGAAAGTAAAAAAAAAAAAAAAGAAAAGCCAGCTACGAGATAGTCCATAAATTTTTCCAAGATGTAAAAAGCACTCTGATCAATTGACTCGCGCGAGGACGGCAGATGAGGAAAAAATAGTGACTCCACTGTATACAGACGACCAGTTAATGCCAATAACACACGAGAGCCGGTGTTCTCACGCTCGTTCGCACATTCAGTAACTCATCAACTTTTCTTCTGGAGGACACAATTTTAGCCGCTGTCGATTACTTCAAGAGCTCGTGTGGCCGAACTAATGATTATGCTCTTATAGCCAACATAAACAACGCGCGGCATAAAAGGCACACCAAAAATGCAGATTACCGACACCAGACTACATGATGCATATATGTATGGTATACGCAGAGTCGAGAGATGAATAATGCAACCGGTATACTTGAACCGAGACTTGCTTCTTCTTCAATTTCGAGCACTCGGCTAGACGCCGGAGCACCTTACTTTAAAAGACAAGTGCACACGGCGTACATGCTCGTGCGCCTCACCTATATACACACCTGATGCCGATAAAAAACAATAAGCCCTGGGATTCTAAAGTTTTTTTTTTTTTTAATTTTTTATTTCAACTAGTAGCTGTACGAACGAGTGTACAGAACAACCGCGCAGCAATAAAATTAAATAAGAAACGACAGCCGTACAGAAAAACCGAGAATCGCGTTATTTAATAATAAAGACCCACACGATCGACCACGGGCTTTTATTCAAAGTGCGACTGCGATCCCCCGGGCGGATAAACAACCTCGGGCGAGCGGGATACATGAGTTCTTTTCTTTCGTTCAATTTCAAAATTTATACGATGGTAAACGAGATGTGCGTATTGGGCTCTTTTTCCCCCCTTCCACGGCTGTGTACCAATTAACTTAAGCACTAGCGCTCCAACGAACGACGTAGATAAATTATCCTCTGGAGCTTTGTGTTCGCTCGTGCGGCCGATTTTTCAATCACCAACGATGAACTCAAATTGCCGATTTTTTTTTCTATTGAAAGAAAAAAAAAAAAAAAAAAAATCCACGAAAAGCTCGGCAAATTCCTGAAGCACCAAACAGATCGACGCAAGCTCCCTCGATGTTGTATATGCAAAAAAAAAAAAAAAAAAAAATTTAATATCCCAGCCAGTGGTACTCGTGAAGAACGAGCACGTTGCGCTGTTGGCCGATGACGCATCGGGTGTATACTTATATATTATATGCCTATACACGTGAAACAGCGTGTGTCCCGTCGGGCGGGCAAAAAAGCGCGCGCGTTTACGAAAGATCGCGCAGAAAGAAAAATCCTTAGCCCATGTTTTTCATCGAACAAACAAACGGGAGAAGAAACAACAAAAAGAGAGAAAAGAGCCAAGCAACGAGACTCACCATATGAAATCCTTGCAGTGGCTACAGAAGGTCGGCTGCCTGAAGAACCGGGGCATGAACTTGTGGTTCTTGACGATGTAGACATTCTTCTTTTTGAGGGCGCCCTTACGACCGCGCAGCTTCTTCGCGAAGGCGGTGCTCGCGTCGTTCGGCCCCAAAGAGTCCTCCTGATTGTTTTCCTCGTTGTTCGCCATGGCTGTACCCCGATCCGACCCCTCGACAATGCGACTCCTCTACTTCCTTTCTGCTCTTTCTCCCCGAGCCAACAGGGGAGCGACTATCCTTCCTCCCCCCGAGCCGAAACCCGCTCGTTTGTTTCCCTCGCACTGACAACCGCGATAAGGCCGAGCACACCCGGAGAGCGGAAGCTACTGCGAGAGAGGTCGATCGCACGCGCACACTTTTCGATACACCACCTCCTCCCGAATCTTTGCGATTTAGCGCAGGATTTTTCCCCTCGACAAGGACACAAACAAACAACCAGCAATTGAACAATGACGTATACAATTCGCCAAGATATTACGTGCGCATACACCCGACAAAGCTGTGGTTGTACGGTCGAGCGAGAGAAAACCTCGGGGACACGCGTGCGTGCTCCGCGCGATCGGCTGGCACACAAGCCCTCTACTACCGCTGATACGCTGCGAACTCTCCGTTGCTGCTGCTTCGAGACTATATGCTCCGCGTGTGCGCGTCTCTCTGTGTGTGTATATTTCTGCTCCCCCTACCAAGCGAGCTTTCGCCTCGACTCTGATGTGTGCGTGCGTGCCACCCCACCGCCCGGTGCTATCATCTCTCTCTCTCTCTCTCTCCGAGTATGTACGTATATATATATATGTATATAACGTAGCATCCCGGTCGCGCTGCTTCGACTCGCCCGTAGCTCCCTACTCTCCTCGTGGTGTCCCTTCTTGCCCCCGTTCCCCTGCAGCTCGACCTACTCCCCCGTATCTCGTGTGTGTATGTACCTGGTGCTCCAGTAGCCCAACCCGGCCAGCTGGACGGCCTTACCCGATCTGCGTATGAGTGGGTGTACTACCACCGCCAACTGAATCATATCGCATATATATGTACACACTAGGTGCGCACCATGTACATGTAGATACGGCTACACCTGCACCGCAGTTAGAAAAAGAGAGCTTGCGCCAGCCGCGTTGCTGTGTACGTGAGGCTTTTGTACATATACTCCCACACGAGTGCGATATGGTTGCGAGGTAGTCTCTGGCGTCGCGGATAAATTTAGATATTCTCGGCGCGCGTTTGTATGAGTGCACCGACGGCAAGACGATTTGGATTCAAAGCACGAGATACACCAACGGCGAGCTTTATTTTACAAAATTGGCCAATGGGGTGGTGGGTACCCAACGCCGATACCGACCGAGCGAAAAAAAAAAAAATGTGGGTGTATGTACAATGTTTACAAGAGTGCACGTGTATGTTTATGTATGTACGTGCAACAGCTACTGCTCAGCCAGCGTCGCGCACCCAACGGATGTATATCGACATCTCTCGGGTCAGGAGGAGGAAAAGGTGCACACTGACATAGGCACAAGAGATGAAGGGTAGAAAAGCGCCCTGAGGGGGAGCTTGCGACGAGCCCTCCCTCCAGCCCAACCCGAGCTTGCAGCAGCGTAAGTATGTGGTGCATATCTCTCTTTTTTTTTTTTTTTAAACATGAATTTAACCCACACCTCGATTTTCGCCGCTCATTTTGTTTATACGTTTACTTTTCTCCCATATACTACCGGGGTATACTTTTTGTCTGCATTTTTTTCAATAAAAACCGGTGGAGCTTTGCAGTTAAATCAACGAACTCGGTGGCTCTTTTAATCAGAGTCGCACAACTTGCAAGCTCGCGCACCAAGCCGCACCCCCTCTGAGTGGTGCGCAGAAAATCAAACGGCCGGTGCGCGCAAGTCGAGAGGTGAATGATAAATAGAGCGAGTCCCCGGGAAGAAAAGCTCGAGCGAGGATACAGTATGTACGAGCATCGTTTTTTCTTTTTTTTTTTTTTTTTTTTTTCAATCGACAAGATAGTTTTTGTTTTCGGGGACCATTGAACCGAGTTTTTTCCGATTGAGCGGGACTTTTGTGGTGATTATACGGGAGTAGAAGTACGACTATACAGTGCTTTTACGAAGTTTGTGATTATACTGGATTATGATGTATTGTTTCGGGGGTTGATTGCCCGACTGGTACACGGGTCAGCATTTAGCATCACGAAACTTTTGGTCGGATTGATGGGGCTTATTACTTGGGTATTACCGATGTACCTTTGTTTTAGAAACGTTAAATTTGGCTATTTTTTGTTTTTTTTTTGTTTTGTTTGTTGCATTGATACGATTGGTGACATGACTAAAATAATCATTATTCGAATTTCGATATGAGTAGTTGTTAACCATTAACAAATACAGGTAGAGAACTTGATACTATTTAAAAGAAAAAAATTTTATAAAATAAATTATCCCCTGGAAAATGTTTGATTAAAGCAACTTTAATGATGTATTTATACGTTGTAGGTGCAATAGTGAGCCAATATTTGTAACAGATTTATTAACTTTTAAGACTTACAAAGTTTACTTTTTTTCATACAGCTCCGAAATCATCAAATTAATTATTTCAACTGGTGTATTTCATTGAACTTAAATAAAGTAATGACTAAAAATAATAAAGAAAATAATTTCATTAGATTAATGCATCAAATGGTATTAAAAATTTAAACAATATTAGAACGTACACGGTACCACAGTTCCTCCACTTGTCATTTACGAGGTCATTAATTAACAACAACAAACTACTAGTGTAGTTAAGATAAAATAAAAATAAAGTAAAAATTATACAAAAAACAGAGTCCTTTTTCGGAATTTAAATAATTACCTACTCAGCTCCGATTGATACTTTTTAGCAAAAAAGGTTGATATTCTGAGACAGCGTTTCTTGTTCAATTAATATTTTCCATTATTCATCGTTTTTTTTTTGTTTTTTTTCAACACGTACAAAATAATTCATTGCTCCGAATATCTAGGGTTGCACTGTCGGAGTAGATAAGTGTCTTCGTTCAGCTCAATTTTTCATCATCAAATCGTTCGAATTTATTTTTTTTTGTAATTTCTCAATAAATTCTGCTGTCGAAAACTCATCAAAAGCGATGTGTTGCACGTTTCGCGTGTATCATGGGATTTTCAAACAAAATTTCAACAATTAGCATGCAATGATTATTTTCAATCAAATAATTGAATTCCGCTACGAGTTTGATACGGATATTGAGCTTTTAAAGTTTGTAAAATTAACAGCAGCCGTAGAAACAAGAGCCATTGATATTTTTGCGAATACTGTATGTAACAGAGAAACGCAATTTTTTATTGAAATACTTTTACGTTTTCCGAGTGCGATCATGTTTTTTTTCATTTTTTTTTTTTTCACAAATCAACAATTTTTTGTAGGTACGTTGCCTCTTAAAAAAAAAAAAAAATACATTTCCCTAAACTTCAGAGTTTTGGAGGATGAAACTTGGCAATGTTTCGATTTTTGGTTTCATGAACCAATCAATAAATATCCTTGAAATTGATGAACTCTCGAACTCTCATTGCAATACAGAATCAACAAACCCCATTTTTCACATTTAAAAACAATTTTTTCCTCGAGCATCGCCCACACTGCGACCCTCTATAGTTCTTTTCAAAGTCGTATCAGTGGGTAAAGCTCCATCGCTGTGTATGACTATCCGTGTAATATGAGGCCGCGTAGCGGATGAGTGACTCGAGGCCAGTCCAAACACACTCACACGTGTGTTGTATGCATAATATGCACTCGGCCGAGGATAATCAAGAATTTACGCGAGCTTTTTCCTCCTCGACCTCGACACCTAAGACTCTGTGAGCATCCACGATCCCATTGACGACGACAAGAGAGAGAGAGAGAGAGAGAAAAGCGATAACGTCAGAAAGGGTACCCTCGGGAAAAAAAGAAAAAAAAGGGGGACGAAGGTCTCGGTTAAGCACAGCCGCTCTCCAAGATGATGAAAGCCCGAGCCTTCAAACGAGACTCAAGCTCCGAGCAAGGATGCAAGCGCCTTGATGAATCGTGTCCGTATAGCAAAAAAAAAGACGTTCTCCGCATCCATCATTGGCGTGCACGAGTTATTCGCGAGGAAGATAATATTCTCACGGTACGCGCGCGCTTATATGGTTGATTAAAAATAACTGCACTCGAGAAGGGAAAATACAATCAATCGAAAATGGTTGGGGGAGATTTTTCTCGGCGAAGGAGTATCGATCAGCTCCAACTTCTCGGAGCGCCGTAACTCTTTTCCTCGAGCGAGAAGTTAATTAACGCGAGAAGAAAACAAATACGCCTCTATACGTTGGGTTGCTCTTGCGATACCCAACTTATACTTACTCGAGCTTTCGTTAATTTGCAAAATTAATAATAAAGGGTTTAATTAATAACCAGGCCACCGGGTGCAGTTCACGTAGAATCAATGTTCATGCGGGGGTATAATTTCGGATGATCAACTTCGAAAGCTTCGTGTCAGCGGGGGAATCGCCCCCCTTTGGGGGTGACAAGGTAAGATCTCTCGCTTTTGGCACAATGAAAAACTCCCTCGGCGAGAAAAGAAGGACAGCTCTGCCCCCTGTTGCTCTCTCTCTCTCTCTCTCCGAAGAAGCCGGGGTGGCAATCGAATGAAAGAGAGAAAACGAGATAAGCAGGGTGGGAAAAAAACCCCGTGGTGGTAAACGATTTGGGGTCACGCTATGCGCCTAGATAAACAGCACAAAGTGTGATGTGTAGCGGGAGGGCCTCGACGTCCCATATATAGCCTCTCGAGGGTAGTGAGCACGCTCTATTTACACGCCTATTTTTAATTAATGAAGCGCGATCGGGTTGGAATCGTATGGGCATGTGTTTGGAAATAAAGGGGAGGGATGAAAAGAGTCGCATGCACAGAAAGTGATGCCGGGTGGAAGATAAATGAGGCACGCAGTCCGTAAAAGGGATATCCAAGGGTGGGGTAGAGCTTTTTGCGTGCAATCATAATAATAACACGTGATATCGGCAGGCTTTTTTTTTTTGCTCATTTGTACAATACGTTTTGAAGCTCCGGATTTTTCTATTTGCTCGCTAGGAGCTTGCGTGTGTCCGCTCGCGCGTCCCTCTCTTCTTTTTACCGTGTAGAATGGGATGCTTCTCTTGCTGCCCTGTAAAAGTGAGAGAATAAGCAGGTAACTGAGCGAAATCTTAGATGAGGTTGAATTTATTTTCAATCGGTGATAAAGGGATTTTTTTTTTGGGTGGCTACCTTTTTACGTGTTTAAGTTCGCCTACAACATCTACACTCGACATTGTTATCATCAATATTGTTATTATTTTACTGGCAAAATGATTTATAAATATTAATAGAAAAATGAAAAAATGCATGAAATATTGAAGAATGGTTAGAAATAAATAAATGTTGACATTATCGCAGAACCATAAGTTCATAATAACTGGCTAATGGCGATTTATATTGCTTTTACTTTATCATTGTGCATAAACTCGGCGGTGAGATAAAGAGCTTACAAAAGAAATTACATATTTCAGAATGTTAAATTTTATCAAGGTTGTAATTACTGTAGATAAGACAATTGTGAAAACTAACGCATAGGAGAAATACTGCTATGTATCGTAAATATTGTACCTATATATTAAAGGTACGAATATAAGATTTAGGAAAATCTTGAAAAATAATGGCAAAGTCATAAAAAGTGTAGCTAAATTAATGGCATGGAGTACAATAACCTTTGAAGTTTGATCCATCTTACCAACAAAATGTTGGTTTTCTTTATTATTTTTCTTCAAATAATATTAATTTCTGTAAAATCTGAAATTATATTTTCTTTGTTACAGTATTATTAATTATTATAAAGAAAGACAATATATTAGTGGCTATCCAAAAAAATATTATAGTAGAATTTATTATATACATTTTTTATATTCAATAATAAATAACTGTGTTTGGATGATGAATAAAATAATACGACGATTAAAGCACAACAGAGCCATCGAAAAAAAATACTAAAATTAACGTGAGGTTCAAGTAATACAGCGTAATAATGGCACAGGTGTAACCGTTAAAAGAAAGACGCAGTAATTAGACGTGCGCTTGATTCGGCACTTACGACCTTTGGGTTGCCGCACATGCGTTAAGCAACCACCTGTAAGCATTATATATATTGGCTGAGACACACAGTACCCAAACGTCTTTTCTTCTTTCCTACAAATGCTTGCAAACCAGCTGTTTTAACATTGACAGCGTGTATTAGCGATGATGGATTTGATTCAAGTGGAATATTCCAAATCTGGCGTAGGTGACTTTACTTATACATTTCTCGCGATGAAAGTTAATGAAGAGGAAATTCCGACTCTATATAGTAGTAAAAAAATTGATTAAAAATCAAATTGCACAACTCTTTACTTTAAAAACTTTGTTTTTACAAGCTCGCTATATCCTCGTTAAGGATTTCTTGATTTGTTGTGTTTATTGAGTGACAGATTGTAAAATGCGAATCCAAAAACGTCACAAAAATCACAAGCAATAGTAATAAACTATTTAAAACTAACAATAGCAATTAAATCAATTTTTTGTAATGTTATATTAAACAGAAGCTTAAATAATGATGGTTCGTATGATTTACTTAATTTTGCAGAAGTTAGATTCACAGAAATGAAATAACTGTAATTGAAAAAAAACTGAAATTCCGGCAGAAGAATAGCAAATACAAGCAACGGAAACTACGTAAAGTGACTGAAATCGTGTGCGCTAAAATGCGTATGTATAGAGAATATACCATTGCATGATTGTTACTGAAGTCTAAACAATTATTCTAGTCGATAAGTCTATAGGTAATTAATTTTAAGACAGCTAGGTCATATTCCAAGTATGCCGTTTGTAGCTATTAATTATTAAAAATTTTGCGTTATAATACCAGAGGATTACAATCGCAAGGAATAAATGTACTCTACAAGCTTTTTACCTGCTAGAGGTGCCGTTTTTAAATTAAATTATAATTTATGTACTCTGTAATTTATCAAAATTTTGCACCAATAACTAATTTGTTGTAGTTATACCCAGCATAAATTTGCAATAAAATACAGTTTACAAATATTGTAACAGATGTAATTTTAAATTATGAAATTTGCACAAAAAAGAATAAGAAGTATTAATAATTACGTGATGATTAGATTGATTGCTTTGTTTCAGCTAAACATTTTTTTTTTAAACGATGAGATAGAATCTTTGGCATAACTAAAATACGAAAGTCCGTTGTTTCACTAATAATTTGTTATGTCGTATTGTTGTAGAATATGCTGTATACGTGTGTACTTTTTAAATAAAACGTTGAGAAATATGCAAATATTATTATAAAAATAATCTTTCTTTGCAGCATTTTCATCGTCTTTCTGTGTCTTTCAATTCCTCCTGGTTTCATCGACACGCTCAGCCTAACCAATCAGGGATTCTAATAAAAGAAGAGAGATGGTAAGACGGTAAGTACCTATATACAGCAGAGATATTGTGTGCGTCACGCTCTCGTCTGTGTATGTTCTCCCATTCTATACGAGTGTATATGCTTTCCAAAGTTTCCCTCTCGTTGGTACTCCAAAACATTCTGCTCCGAAATACGCGATAAACAATAGTAAAATGAAGCTGTGGTCTCTAGCTCTTCTGCTAGCAACGTTTTTCTCGATTGGTAAAAAATTCGTTTTCTCATTTTCTTTTTCGATTTATTAAAGATTATTTATTTGTCCTAGTTTATATTCACTCCAACCGATTTTGTTTTTAGGCAACGCCCTAGAATGCCACGTTTGTACAAACCAAGAGGGAAATGTGGCAAAGTGTTTAAACACTGTTATGACGTGCGAACAGGGAGAAGACACCTGTTTAACAATCATAAGATGGGGCAGTAAGTAAAGCTTTTTAAATCCCGTGCTATGTTTATAAAAGTGAGGTTAGATATTGAACGCTAAGTGAGTAATAATGCTCAGTTTTTTCAAGAATTTTTAAATTTTTGTTGAGCTTACTTTTTCATTTGTTTATCTGATATCTGATTGAAGATTGGTACACAAAATTATATATTAATTATGAACATGCTCAAGCAACAAGTCGATTTATAACGATTTTTCGAGTAATACTTTATACTATGCATTTGTAAAGCAATATTTATTTTTTTTAGGTACACCTTACTGGGTTCCAGAAGCGAAGAAACAAAAATATGTATCAAAACGTTGTTCATCAAAAAAAGAATGTGAAAAAATTAGAAGAAATAACATGCCTGATTGTTCACACGTTGGGTATCTAGATTGGCAGTGTTCTGATTGCTGTCAAGGAGACAAATGCAACTATTACATTATTGTAAGTAATTTTAATATTTAAAAATTTAAAAATTGTTATTGTAAAATTTTCCTATTTTTTCACAGTAAAGTAAAGTGTATGACTTAAAATTTTCATTTGAAAAATCTTTATCAAAGTTTTATAATGATAAATATTTTTTTTATTACATAAACAAATCTTATCATTAATGAAGCTTAGCATTTTATTATTCAACTAATAACATTCAATAGGGAGCGAAAATTTTTAGCATAATTAAGAAATATCGCATTCAATCTTAAAAACTTCATTAAATGAAAATAAGATATAGCTTTGATTTGTGATCAGATTCGTCATGAATAAAATAAAATAATTTTTCAGTGATCAACGATTAAAAGTGTAGTATGTATTTGTTTTTTTCAGTCTGGCTCAAGCAAAATTGGTGTGATGTCA